CTCTGGCTCTGCTGGAGGGGCGCGGCGTCCGGGCGTCCGGGCAGAGCCTGGGACCAGAACGTCTTTAGAGTTAAAAATGATACATATTAGTCTGACTTCTTTGTGCCGGGATGGTTTGCCAAAGTGATATTGTCCAAAAATCTTTGTTGAGTAACAGGTTGGGGGCTTTATTTTCCTACTCCATAAGGTTAAATTGTCAAATCTGGCTCTGCTGGAGGGGCGCGGCGTCCGGGCGTCCGGGCAGAGCCTGGGACCAGAACGTCTTTAGAGTTAAAAATGATACATATTAGTCTGACTTCTTTGTGCCGGGATGGTTTGCCAAAGTGATATTGTCCAAAAATCTTTGTTGAGTAACAGGTTGGGGGCTTTATTTTCCTACTCCATAAGGTTAAATTGTCAAATGTAGAAATTGTTGGGGTAGGTTTCATTTTTTTATTCAGAGTTAAGGTCAGATGTCTTTCTGGTTAGAAAAAACTGTTTTAAAACAATTACTAACTTTGCTATCAACACTGATGCAGAGTAAAATTACTGTATAATGAAAACAATGCTCTTCGTTTGTTTTTCTTCAGATTCACTGAGGAATAACTTTGGAAAGTATTTTTCAAGTAATTGACATTTCTGTACAGTAGCATTTTTTGCCTTAACTGCAATGTAATTTTTATAATAATTTCAAAGTATAAATCAGTATTGTACATAAATTTGTCTAGACTTGTATGTAATGCTGATGATTTTGCTGCAACTTGTTATTGAAAGGAAATTTTATGTACGTGAAATAAAGTAAATAGCTTAATAGACAATAGTGTCGTCTACCTTCGACTTTTTTTGTGGCCTTTGTCGGTTAGATTAAGTAATACTCAATGTTTAACTTGGTGTAGGCATTTAATACTTAAACTGTAGTATTAGAGTTGTGCCAACCAAGCACTGCTTTCAGATACTGTGCCTTCTCTGCAAAGTGACTCATGCATGTCTTAGTTTACACTTGACTCTGTTTTAATTGTCTAATTCTACATATTTACCTAACCTGAATACTCAGGGCAAGGGAGAGTTCTGAGAGTCTGGGTGAACAGCTGTAGTCATTCCTATATCTGAGCTTTGCTGTCTGTTCTTATTTAAAGGAAGGAAGTAATATCTTTAGGGGTTTTCTTAGTTGGGAGATTATAGGAGAGTAATGTTGCATCTTCTGGCATCTCCTCAAATTATTTGAACACTTTCTCCAGTGTAAATTCCAAGAATTTATAAAGAAGGCTTTCAAAATTTATGTAGTTGGAGTTGTGAACCTCAAAGCGCATATGATATGATGGCCTGTTTATATTACCTGGATGCATTCCTTTATAAAGCCTTGGTGAATTGCCTCCTTGTTAGTAGAGGTCCGATAATGTGCCAAGGATTATATGGTTATCCTACACCTTTATGTAGCTTGTTGCTCAGTTCTGTTTGAAGTCTATTTCCTTGAAGCAGTCTCTAATTATCTTCCAGCAAGCCTAACTGCATATTTCTCCCAGTATATATATCTCATATGTGTTATAATTTTAGTAGTTTAACGTTATCAGTCATTTTTCCACTGGAGCCAGTTCATCCCTGACTTTTGAACATTAAACTAATAGTTATGTTATAAAACTAAATTTCTTACTCTCAGTTTCTCGAATACTTGTATACATCTTAAATTTAGCTCTTTGGAAATGGCCCTTTTTGTATTTCTCAGGTTGAAAATCTCATATGTGTTATAATTTTAGTAGTTTAACGTTATCAGTCATTTTTCCACTGGAGCCAGTTCATCCCTGACTTTTGAACATTAAACTAATAGTTATGTTATAAAACTAAATTTCTTACTCTCAGTTTCTCGAATACTTGTATACATCTTAAATTTAGCTCTTTGGAAATGGCCCTTTTTGTATTTCTCAGGTTGAAAAACAAAGTCCAGCTGCATCAGTTTTGGACTGCTTGAGTTACGTTTTTAACCTCTTGAATTTTCCTCTTCTCTCTCCTCCCCACACTGGGGATGGAACCTAGAGCCTCATGCATGTTAGACAAGCTCTCTTCCACTGAGATACATTCCCAGTCTAGATTTTGATTTCCTTTTTTCTTTGATAGGAAGATAGCAAAGACTAATAGTAGAGAGTTTGTGAAGACTAGAAATCTCTTTCAGTTGCAGTTTCACCCCTGGAGGAGGAGGTAGGAATATAAGACATTCCTCTTGCCGGTGCCCTTGAAGAATTATTTTATCTCTTCTGGAACTTTTTTTGTTTGTTTGTTTTTTAGGTTTTTTGAGACAGGGTCTCACTATGTAGTCGAGACTGACCTGGAACTCACCATGTAGCATAGGCTGGTCTCAAACTCACAGCGATCCTCCTGCCTCAGCTTCCCAAGTGCTGGGATTATAGGCTTGCGCCACTATGCCCGGCTTTCCTTCCATTACACATTTGTGAATTCACCTTTTCTTGCTTTGGAAGATTACAAGCAGAAATCCTATTTTCTGCATAAATGTGACAAATTTTAAATTGAACTGAAATTGACTGCCAGTTCTCATGTTTTCTAGATTTTAAAATAGGCAGTTACTAAAGAAGGTTAAGTATTAGATTTTCTTTTACTCGTTAAACCAGCATCAAATATTTTGACTTTGCCCTTAGTAAGAAAGCTTCTATTTGGCAGGATCATGTCTCATACTTTCAAAGCACTTTATTTGTGCTTTACTATGTCACTAAGCAGTCTTGTCTTCTGTTTTGTGTGTGTCTTCCATGGCTTCATTGTGAGTGCCTAGACTATTAATTGATTTGAGCCATTATCTGTTATTTCCAGCCTGGTCCCTTGTTTGTTTATTTATGAGCAAGTTTTTTTACAATCTTTAAATTTTTTTCTCATTTGAAAATGGGACTAATATAGTACCTACTTGTAGGGTTGTTACATGAAACAGTGCTAAGCTGAAAGTTCATGGCTTAGTTATATTTAAAAACCTATTAGAAATGTTCGACTTGCCCTCTTTTTTAAGTGTTACAATAGATATTATTAAAGGAAGTTTTGTTACTTTTACACATTAAATATATATTTTATATGTGGCCCAAGACTGTTCCACTTCACTCAGTATGGCTTAGGCAAGCCAAAATTTTGGTAACTCTCGCATATGTCAACCATTACAAACTCAAAATTAAGTTCGTTCTAGAGCTGGAGACTAGAAAAGTGCATTGTAAATAATGATTGAATTGAGTAGTAGTGGATGAAGAAGGCTTGCTTTAATACAACTAGTAACTGCCAGTATTATAAAATAAATGGTATAATTTAGATTTGAATATTAATAAAACTTTTTGTTAAAATTCCTCTAGATTTTAAGTGAATTGACATATTGTCAACATATGAATAACTATGGAAGATTTCAGTTACTCTAAACCAAAATTATTTTTTCTTTGGTTACTAGAATAGTTTCTTAAATATTTTTTCTTGTTAGTGTCGTACTTATTTGAGAGTCAAAAAATGTGAACGATCTGGTCTTGATCTGCTGACAACTTTTGTTCTTGTGAAGAAAATATTCTGTAAATAAAACTCAGTTAGAAGAAGAAGTGCACCAGTGCTTAGATTCTAGATGTATTAATATTTCTGGGCATACTGATAACAAAATATATGATATTTTTTTCTTTTCATTTTGTCTTTGTTTTTTGAACTTTTATGTGGTATACCCATACTTGGTATTAATGCTGTTTTGTTTTGTTTTGCTTTGTTTGAGACAGGGTCTCACTATGTAGTTAAGGCTGACCTGGAACTCACTATGTAGACCAGGCTGGTCTTGAATTCACAGAGATCCTCCTGCCTCAGCCTCCTGAATGCTGGGATTACAGGCATGCACTACCACGCCCAGCTCTCTGTATTTTGAATTAAACAGGACGATAGTTTATTTACCAAAGACAGAAATATTATGCTAATGTTTAGGACTTCTTTTCTCTAATTTAGAATTTCAACATCATAGCTATAGGAAGAAAGCAAATATGTTAGCATTGTAAGTATAGGAGAGAAAATGCCCGTTAATGTTAGACAGTTCAGCCTTTCTAGCTAAGGGGACCCAGGTTAGAAATCAAAAATATGTGTGTTGCTGAAGAAATGGGGACTAAATAAGCATTCTTCTTCCTCTACTTTCTGTGATAGTAAGCATCTTTGAATTTATCTCTGTTTTTTTCACTTTAGGGAAGTCTTACTGGGTGCTAGTGTGCTGGTTATGTTGGCAGGTTAGAAAAGTTTTTTTTTCTCTTGAAGAAGGACATGAGTTTTTTTGTGTGGGGACGATATAGAGGGGGAAGTTTTCTACTCTGCACATTTGAAGAAAAAATAAAATGTTTGTGGTTTTCATAAGGTTATAATTAACCATTTGGTTGAGGGTTCTTTTGATAAATTGGGATCAAAATCATGAATTGGCCAAGTGCAGCTCCCTTGGGGTTAGCAGCTTTGGGCTCTGAGTGCATGTGGCTCTCCAGCCTTTTAGTGTTACCTCTCCTGGTATTTTGGCTCAAGGAGGCTCGTAGCAGTCTTTATTTATCAACTCTTCAGTAGCTGAGGCTTGAGCTCCTTTGGCAGCTGTACCCTTTCCCTGGAAATAAGACCTAGTTGAAAAATAATCAGCCTTGAAAACTAGAGGTCAGAAATGCTACACTGGGGATTTAGCTCAGTGGTTCCACCGCCTGCCTTGCAAGCACGAGGACCCAAGTTCTATCCCCGTACCAAAAAAAAAAAAAAAAAAAAAAGGTGAAAAAGAAATATGCTAGCCCCAGTCAGCCTGTCCTTGCTTTGTCTGCCATCATTTTTCTCTTGCTCGGTGGCCACTCTGCAAGGCTGATTATTTTCTGGCTGGGTCTTATTTTCAGGGAAACATGCCTAGAAATTCTGCTGTCTCACTGGGGTTCTGTGTAGGTCATCACAGGTCTCTTGGACTCCTCTAGTCTCTGTAGCAGGTCACCACCAGTCTCTGCTAGTTGCTGCAGGTCTCCATCATTCTCTGGAAATCTTCAGGGCTAGTAACCCCTAGTGTTACCAGCCCTTTTCAGCACAATCCTCTTAGCCTACTCTACCCAAGATGAGACTCATAAATAGGTAGTGGGACCACTTGGCAGGGGCTTTATTGATTCCTTGCTGTAGCACAAAGGGGTAGTCTAGGACATCTGTATCTGTCATGGTGGCAGATTGGAGGAACTGTGGGAGAAACATGCTTGATTGACAGCTCCCCTCTGTCTCTCCTTTGAGTTAAAATGGGAGACTGAAGTCCTGTTAGCCACTACCTTTGAGGACACTTTATGAGGGCCAGCAGTCTTGATTGTGGTCCCTTAAGGTTTGAGGGTTTCAGAGATATCTATCAGCAATGGGTCTGCTTCCTCCTTAATCCTTGACGTGTGAGACAATTTTCCAGCCATCCTTGGAAGAAGCAGCAGAGCCTGGAGTGCCTTGGATAGGGAAGGGGCCTGAGCTGACAGGCAGGCAGAGGCTCTGTCAGTGTAAAAGTAAAAGTAAAGGTGATGGGAACATACTGGGGTTGGTTGACCCAGGCCACCCTGAGGATGACAGTCATATCATACCTCTTCCTGGCTGTGAGAGGGAAAAGAGAAGGATTGGGCTTGGATACTTTTATGTTTCAGCTGCAAGTACTAAGTACCACTTATAATTTTAAATTTAGCTTATTCTGTAAAATATAATGTTTCATAGGATTGAAGTATCATTAATATCATTGAAATAATACTAATTCTCATATGTTTGAAAAAGAGAATAAACTTTTAATTACAACATACCAAACTGAAATCATTTAACTAGAACTTGTAGTAGAAAGAAATTCTGTAGGGTATTTATATGGTTAGTTAAATCATAAGGTTAATAAAAATGAAGTCTTAAGTGTTTCAGAAAATCACAGGGTTTCTAAATTAGAGTACTCACTATTACAGCCTTGTATAGTTTTTGAAGTTTAGAATATTTGAAAAAATTCTTTTAAAGTTCAAAACTGGAACCAAGTACAGTGGTATGTATATTTCTGTAGCCCAAGCTACTCAGGAGGGTTGAGTAACAGGATTAATTGAATCCATGAATTTGAGTCCAGTTTAGGCAACATAGTGAGACCCTGTCTCAAATCAAGAATAAGAAAGTTTCACTTTAATAATCATATTTTCATTATGTGCTTGTTAGAATACAATTCAACTGTTCTTACTGTGTACTGTGTAGCCTGAAGTTGGTAAATCTAATGTTATGTGTGCCCAAGAGAACAGTTGGTCTGGCAGTTGTAATATATGCATATTACTGCCAGTTTGTTTTGTGGTGCTGAGGATTGAACTCTCAGTGCCTGATACATGCTGGACATGTGCTCTACCATTGAGCTACATCTGCAGCTTGTTACTGTTGTTTTGATATTCTTCTACATTGTAGTCAGTGCAGCTTGAGGTTAAGTTTTTGCAAATAACATTTCAGATAAATCTATAAAACTAGTCATAGGTTTTGATTTAGAAGTATTATGTATTGTATCACATCTTAAGTTTTTAGTTAAACTCAGATGATTTGTTTTAATTAAAACATTAGTGGTCAATGGATTTTTTTTTTTTTTTTTTTTGGTACCAGGATTGAACTCTGGGTCCTTGTGCTTGTGAGGCAGGCAACCACTGAGCTAAATCCCCAGCCCAATGGATTATTTTAAATTCACACACAACCCTTTTTATTTTGTACATGCTAGGCAAGTGTTTGTCTTGCCAAATCCAATTGCAAATAAAATATTGAAGTATACCTCTAGACTTCACAGCTCTTGTAAAATTTAGAGCTTTTTTCCTATTTTATTAATGTACTTCCATACTTAAACCTCATGAGGTGGTGTAAGTTCTACAGGTGAACAAGTTGTGATAATTATTATAAGGAATTTAAACTATTTCAAGCAATTTTTGGATAATACTCAGTTTATATAATTTATAGACTCCAAAATGCAGAAAACAAGGAAACTGTGGCACTGTTTTCACTATTTACAAATTTTCTAGAAGTAAGGAGGACATGGAAACTGGAGAGTTAATATGTCCAGCTTCTTTTAGAAATGGTATCCATTTATTTTGGACCTGGAACTTCAATTACTTTTTTCCTTGTCATTCTGGAGATTGAACCCATGGCCTCACACATGCCAGGAGAGTGTCCTGCCACAGAGCTACAGCCCCAGCCCTTGATTACCTTTCTGCCAATTACTACTACTACTACTGCTGCTGCTGCTACTACTACTACTACTACTACTTCTTCTTCTTCCTCTTCCTCCTCTTCCTCTTCCTCTTCCTCCTCTTCCTCCTCCTCTTCCTCTTCTTCTCCTCCTCCTCCTCCTCCTCCCCCTCTCCAACATTCTTCTCACTCCAGCATTCAGTCATATAAACTTTCCACCTGGAATCTATCACATGGTGACTTCCTCAGTTTTTCTATTACAAGCTGAAAAATTTTATATCAGCATTTCTTTCTCTTCTTTTGATACAATAAAAGAAGTGTTTCCTGCATGTTCAAGATTAATCCCTTTTCCTGTGCGCTGAATCTTATCTTTTGTGGCAGTCTCTGGGACCTCTGTCCTTTAGTTATCTCTGTGCTTCTCTTTCTAGAACTTCTAAAACATGGTTCAGACTAATCTGAAAAAGCAGCCGACTGGAAGACTCTTCACATGGTATGCTTCTTTATCTCTGACATCACAGCTATAGTTTTTGAGTTGTTTGTATTTGTTGCTTTTACACCCTCCCTTCCTTCTTTCCCCATTTCTCTTCTCTCCTCTGTTCCTTCTTTTTCCTCCTCTCTACTCTGCTCCTTTTTTTTTGCTACGGGGAATGAAACCCAGGGCTTTGTACTTTCTAGAAAAGCATTCCTGCCACCAAGCTGTATTTCTAGCCCTTTTGAACTATTTTTGAGACAGGGTCTCCTTAAATTGCCCAGGCTGGCATCAAACTTGTGATTCTCCTGCCTCAGCCTTCCAAGTAGCTGAGATTTCAGGTGAGTACCAACAGGCCTAGCATGTCCTGCTCTCTTCTTAACTTCCTATGTGCTGGCATTTTTTGTTCCTTGGTCACTGGGAACCACATTAATGCTAACTTGATTCAGCCGGTCTCCATATAGTACTACTTTCTCTTTGTCATTTGTCATTTTAATCATTCTTTTTCCTTGTTTTAATTATACCACATTCTACTCTGAGTTTTTCTTGTTGTTGTTGCTTGTTTTTCGCCTCTCTGATTAGTCATCCTAAGTGTTCTTCATGGGATAGCGTGTTCTAGATTCAATCAATTCCACAGCCTTGGTGTACCTTCCAACCTTCCCTCCCCAGTTTGTTCTTTCTTCCTGTGTGGTTTATCTCTAAGTAGTTTTGTCATGTAGCTATTTCTCTAATAGCTAATAGAGGGTTGGTTGTATCCTTATTCTTTCTTCCATATCCTCCCCCACCCCCAGAATCAAACTCAGAACCTCAAAAGCCCCAACGCTCTCCTACATTTTTTCATACAAACTGACAAGCTCTGTAGATTGTCAGAACTCTTCAATTTGTTTATCCCTACTGCAGTTACTGTGATGAAATGTCCTTTTATCCTGTATCCCTGTATTTAATTATACTTATCTCTCCAATTTAAAACTGCCGGGTGGGGGTATTTATTTATTTATTTATTGTACTGGGGATTGAACTCAGGTCCTTGCGCTTGCGAAGCAGACAGCGGAACCACTGAGCCAAATCCCCGGCCCTCTTTCAGTATATTTTAATGTGCTTGTATAGTCTCTTTTCCTTCTCCTTGCAGTAATGGCTTCCTTAAACTTTAGTTATGTCTTCTTTCCTTTTATACAGTAGTATATGTATACAGTAGTATATGCTGTATCTCTCCAACTTCCAAGCCTTTACACATACTCTTCCAGCAAATTTACAGCTCTCTTTCCCTGTGCAGAAAAGATCTAAAACTTCTCTAGCTCTTCATCCTTAGAGTCTTGGTGTGGATGTCTCTAATCAGATTAGATATTCTTCCTGTTTCTCACTGTAGCCTGTTTTGTTTACTTGTCACCTACTAGGCTACATTGTTTTCCTTTCCTTGCATTCCAAACAGCCAGGTGGGGAGTAGTATGTACTATGACAACTGATGGCCCAGGAGAACCTGTGCTGAGGACTACTCTGAGAACTAAGAGCTACTTCAAGGACTAAGTTTACTGTGGGCAAGCAAGGTCTGAAGCTTTTTTTGGGTTGCCTCCCCTTTTCTACACTTATGTTAAGGATCCTCAAAAAGTGAAATTCAGGTAATTTCTTAGAAGGCTTTAAGGTAAGAAAGTGGAACTTTAGCTTCCCTTTCACTCTCCTACAGAATTAGCATTCTTCTGTTATTGATTATTTCACTCTTTTAATAGACATTTGTGGTGGGTAAGGTGGTGCACACCTGTAATCCCAGCACTTGGGATGCTGAGGCAGGGTGATTGCCATGTGTTCGAGGCCAGCCTGGACTGCATAGTGAGAACTTGTCTTACAAGATCAAAAAACAAAAAACCCAGACCTTAGTTATTGCCATATTTAGGAGAATCATTGTTGGTAGCTGGATTTTTTTTGTCAGAACATTTTGAAAATGGAAAAACAATATTTTAAAGGGCAAACACTGGTTTTAAGCATAGTTTGAGTCAAATATCTCCACACTAAAGTTTCTAGTGTCATTTAACAGGTAATATGGTTGGCTTCTGGTAAAGTTTTTTTTTTTTTTTTTTTTTTTTTTTTATAAAACATCAAGTTAACAAGATTCTTGCAGGGACAAGAAAAGCAGGTTAAATGTTAATTAAATCCATTCTCAATTTAAACTGTAAAAAAGGACCTGACTTGAATGAGACTTTCTAAAGTTAGACATTTCTTTTTCCTCTCAACTTCAAGTACACTTAGATTACAAGGAATCTCATGTCCAGAATTTTTGTTTTTTGTCTTAACGGCAGCAAAGTTTGATTAAAGGTAGGAAAAGAAACGGTCTCTGTAGAGTGAGTTTTGGGCCACGTATAAGAAGGAAAAGAAGTACACCCTTCAGGCATGAGGGCAGGCACCATACAAGAGGGAACATGGTGGCCATTTCTGTTTTCTGAGACAGGGTCTCACTCTGTATTCCAGGCTGATCTGTGCAGTGATCTTCCTGCTTCAGTCTCCTAAATGCTGTGATTATAGGCATATGCCATCATGTGCAGCT